TATTTATAATCCTTATGGACGGTGGGTCAAAGGGATTTTGGATCTGAGTACTGGTGTAAATGTTTGACATCATGAAACATCTATAAAGTATATTATGGGGGAAAGAAAAGAAAAACAAGTAAAGAGAATTTTAGCAAGTGATCACTTAATTTTCAAATTATTTTAATGTGTCTAGCATAAAAGCATTAAACATTTTACAAATATTAGTTTATTAATATTCTAAAACAGTAATAAGATCTTCCATTTTAATATACTATATTGCTATATTAAATATTAAATAAACCACCTTCTTTTGCATAAAGGCATACAATCCAAAAAAAACAAAGGCTTCATTAGTAAATAGATTAAACCAAGGATCAAGGATAACAAGCTATCTGGGAAGGAAAGGAAAAAAAGTCCAGCTTTTGAGATGTTAAACATTTAATGAAATATGAGTGCAGCATCTCATCAACATTCGTGTTTCCACAACCAAGTCAGGCAGTCACTGGTGAGGTGCTGGAGACCAAGGTCAGATCACAGAACACCTGGGCAACCCCACGGTTTTTCATGCTAAACTATAAAAGGCTCAGCATGCCGCTTGCTAAACTTCCCAAGAAATATTATACATTATAGACATTTCGTGGTGTCATTTACTCCAGTAACCTAGCTCCAAAATTCCTTTGACCCAACATCACCCCTGAATCCACTAATCCTACTTACATTTTCAATGTCCTCCCTCTTTTCATGTGTTATTATCCTTCCTTATCTCGTTTACATTCCGTGGCAAATCAATAGCCCTAGACCGACTCCTTGGCATACATTCCCTTTCCCTTCTCTGACATTGTTTATTCTCTTCACAAACCCCAACCTTTGTTAATCTCAACTCTCTGTCAGCTCCACACCTACACCTGTGCAGCTGAGCTTGACGTGGAGAAAATATGCAATCATGTTAATTTTTTCATTTAAATTCATTACAAGGGAGCCCCTAAAGTGGCCCAGGAATCCTACTGCATTTCCTAGTCTATTCACACCATCTCCTAACTATACCTTCTCCTCTCTCCTCAAATACCCCTATTCTCCCTCTCAGTTGATGACCCTGCTTTCTATTACTCTGGGGAAAAAGGGAAAAAATTAACAGAAGAAAACATTCAAAAGTTCACACCACCAAATTCAGTCACCCACCAGCATCTGTATCCATATACTCCTGTTTCCACAGATGAACAGCCTGAACTACCGTCTTAGGCTAACTTCTCTTTTCTGTACAAGATGCCACCTCATCAACCAAGCAATTTGCCAAATCTCTCCCGCATCATCAATTTTTCCATTTCCACTGGATCTTTCCCATCAGAATACAAACATGCTTTACATTCTCCCAGGCTTAAACATAATCCACTCTTGATCCCACAGCCCTCCCCAGATATTGCCCCATTTCTCTCCCCCTTTATAGTACAGCTCCTCAAATGAGGAGTTAGCCAAATCCAAGGTCTCCGATTCTTCTCCCATTCTCTCTGAAACTGTTCTTAACAAATGACCTTCATATTGCTAACTACAGTGGTCATTTCTCAACTCACATCTTACTTGTATCATGAACAGTTGATCACTCCCTCTCATTTGAAAAACTTTCTTCTTGACTTTCAGGACACCACACTCCACTGGCTTTCTCCTTGCCTCACTTCTCAACCTCCTTCGCTGGTCCCTGCTATTTTTCCTGGTAGATGAATGTTGATACGTCCAAGGGCTCAGTCTTTGATGCTATTTTCTATCTATACTTTGTCCTTTGGTGCTAACATCCTATCTCATGGTTTTAAGTCTTTCTGTAGTTTGACAACTCCCACATTTGTTTCTCCCGCTAGATCTCTCCCCAGAACTCCATACTCATATATCAAACTCCCTACTCAACAATTCCACTTGGATGCCTAAAAGACATCTCAAACTTAACGTGTACAAAAATGTGCTTCTGAGAACTCCTCCCTCCAAACCTGCTACCCCTGAGGCATCCTCATCTCAGCAAATAATCAAAAAACCTTGAAGTCATTTTTCTCATATCCCATATATCCCTTTCTCTTATATCCTATATCTAATCTGTCATCAAATACTGTCAGCTCTATCATAAAAATAAATCCAGAATAAATCATTTATTTCCTCCACTAGTACCACTAAGCCAAGACCATTCCCTCATTTGTATTATAGCCTAACTGGTTCCCCTGCTCCAACCCTATCCCCACCACTACTCTGATTCTTCTCAACAGAACTCTGAGAGAGAATGTGTAAAACCGAAATCAGATCACCTCACTTCCCTACTCAAAACTCTCCAATGGCTATCAAGCTTACACCAAAAAACCTAAAAACTGCACAACAACTTATAAGGCCTTGGGTAGCCTGCTATTGCCTTTCTAACTTCACTTCCTACTTGCTTACCCCACTCCAATCAAATTGGTCTCATTTTTGTTCCTTGAACATGCCAAGTATATGAGTGATCGATTGCTGAATAACAAGTTATCCCAAACTCTACTGAATTAAAACAATATTTATTATCTGACACACTTTCTGTAGGTCAGGAATCCAGATATGGCTTGGCTGGCTTCTCTGCCTCAGTGTCTCTCACAGACTGCAGTCAACAGCTGGAGCTGTCGTCGTCTCAAGGCTCGACTCGTTAAGGATCCCCTTGCAAGCTCACTTACCTGGCTGTTGACAGGATTCAGTTCTTTGTGGGCTATTAGTCTGACAGCTTCAGTTCCTTACTGGATGCTGGCCAGAGGCCACTGTTTGTTCCTTGCCACATAGGCCTCTCCAAAATAGCAGCTTGCTTCATCAACGCAAGCAACAAATCAGGGTCCTTTATAACCTAATCTCAGAAGTGACGTCTCATCACTTTGCCACTCAAGGGATGGAGATTACATAAGGAAGAGGGGAACATGAGGTGGGGATCACTGGGAGCCTTGTAAAAGGCTGCCTACTCCACAGGCATAGGAAATATAGTCTATGCTACAAAATACCATGAACAAAAATAGGAAGGAGCTTGCTAAGTGTAACATAAATTGTATTGTGGCCAGGGATTAGGAAGTGGACCTGATCATCAGTAGGGAAGCCATTGCAGTTTCTGGAGCAAGTGACTAACATGGAGAAAATGCTACTTCAGGAAATTTAACCTTTCAGGAATATACTCAGTTGATTGGAAAAGGGGAGTTAGAAAAGTAGGCAGACAGCTCAGACATGTCTTAGATGAGAGTTATGACAATAGAGAAAAGGAAAGGAAAAGGTAAATACAAAAAATAATTGTAAGAAAGTTTATAATGTGGCAACTGCAGAAATCATTAGTGCTGTTCACTGATATTCTGATTCTCCTCCTTCTAAGCACACGGTAGGGTTCCATTTCCCCACCCTTTTGAAGTTAGCTGTGGCCATGCAACTTGCTTTGGTCCAAGAAATATGAGGCAATATGACAAGCAACACTTCAGAACGGAAGCCTTTAAGAACAAGGGTGTGACTCTCCACCTTCCTTTCTCCCTTCACATTGCCTAGAAACATTACAAATGGTGATGGTCTCACTAGCCTGAGTCTCTAAACTGGGCAAGAGTATGACAAGAAACAAACCTTTGTTGTTTTAAGCCATAAAGATTCTGGATTGTTTGTAACTTCAACACAACCTCACCCATTCTGACTGTGGCCGTTTTACCTTGTGTCAACAAATTTTTATATTCCCTTTTAAAAGATGGAGCTTAATTTCCCTCCCTTTTTGTGAGAGCTGGAATTAATAACTCACTTCTAACAAATGTCTAACTTCTCAGACTAGGTCATAAAGAGCATCGGGACTTCCCCTCTTGGACAACTTGCCTTGGGAGAAGCCAGCAGCCCTATCATGAGGACACTCAACCAGCCCCATGGAGATCCACACGCTGAGGAAAGGAGGCCTCCTGCCAGCAGTCAGCATTAACTTGCCAAGCTTGTGGGGGAGCCACCTTGGCAGAGGATCCACAGCCCCAGACAACATCCTCACTGCAACCTCAGGAGATACACTGAGACAGTTAAGCTGCTCTTGGATTCCTGATCCACAGAAATTATGTGAGATAATAAATGCTTATTGTTTTAAACCACCACGCTTTAGGCTAATTTGATACATGGCAAAGATAACCAATACATTCACTAATACAGATATACGTTAAACAGAAAATGAAGGCTAGGAAGACATCAAAGCTGACTCCTAGGCTTTGAGCTTTGAATAATTTGGAAAAACTGTGATATCACTGACTATAAGCTAATCATTTCCATTGTAGTTTTGAGGCAAGGCCATGTCTGCTCAATAAACATTTGCTGGAGTCTTGTAAATGTTTTAACAAGTGAACAAAGTGTTCAAAACTGAAAAGAATATTCCAGTACAGACAGGGGAGATCTCTCCTCTCCTCTCTTCTAGACAGTATACCTTTATTACAGTTTTCTGAACAGCAGGATCACATCGCTAGTACACACTGACTGCAAGTTTAGTTTCCCTAAGTATTTTAAAATGCAAATATGCCCATAGGCTATTACTTGGCTATATTTGCTCCCATTCATCTCAACATTCACATGAGAGATGTCAGTTATGTTGATTTTGTTTCTAATTATTACCATAGTTTCTATACTGAAACCACAAGAGGAAAAAGGAAACAGAGTAGACAGAAGCACGAGTTTTCTATAACGAGCTGAGCTGTTTCTGTTCATGTATCAAATGCAGAATGGAAATATTGTCCTGTCATCATTTTATCAGTTCTAACAGCTTCATCTTGTATTCTACCTTTAAAATTCCTAAACCAACCTTTATTTACAATCAATTTTTAATTCTTCTTTTACCACATTCTCTCTCATGAGTATTCTAAGTCTCAAAGATTTGGGTTGAATAGTGACTAAATTCATCAGATTTGATTTCAAATCTCCACAAATTTAGAAATAGTGCCATCTCAGAGACAGCTGTCACACTAACAGTAGATGGAAACCATCAGTAAAGCACCACTTGTCTTAAAATGAAAATACAACAGACTACAAAGTTATAATTGCTTTTTTTAAGCTTTATTTTAATAGTTTGATTTACAGAAAAGTTGTTAATATGGTATAGGGAGTTCCCACACACACCTCATCCAATTTCCCCTCTTGTTAATATCTTACAATACCATGTACATCTGTCACAACCAAGAAACCAACATTGGCACATTACTATTAACTAAATTCCACACTTCATTCAGATTTCACTAGTTTTCCATTAATATCCTTTTTCTGCTTAAGCATCCCAGCCAGGATGCCACATTACATTTAGTCATCATGTCTCGTCTCTTCTGGTGTGACAATTTCACAGACTTTTCTTTTCATGACCATGACAGTTTTGAGTACCAGTTAAGAAATGTGTAGGATGTCCATCAATTTGATTTCCTCTGATATTCTTCTCATGTTTAGACTTAGGGCTTTAGGGAAAAATAACATAGAGGGAGGAGAAGCGTTCTTCTCATCACATCTTATCAGGGTACAACACTATCAAAATGATTTATCACTGATGTTAACATTGATCATCTGGCCTAGGTAGCGTTTGCTGGATTGATCCACTATTATATTATGCTTTCCCCCTCTTGCCTTATCCTACCCTTTGAAAGCAAGTCACTAAGCACAGCCCACACTCGAGTTAGTACTGGGGTAGGGAAGGGGGATTAACTCCACCTCCTAGAGAGAAATGGCTTTTTAAAATATAAAACTTTCTCAATTCCAGAAATATATATTGCATACCTCAAAGCATCCAATAATGCAATTGAGTGCTCATTTAACGCAAGTCACTATGCTAGGCACCTCAAATAAGAGACACAATCCTTCACTACAAGTTTATAAGATAATAAAGATTCCACAAGAAAAATGCAAGTTAAGTACTATAGCGTACCAAAAAGGGAAAAATCAAATTCAGCTGGAGTAACGAAAAAGTTTCATAGAACAAGTAATATTTAAGTAAAGCATTCAAAGCTGAGTACAATTTTGACAAATATAAATAGTTGGGAAGATATTAAAATTCAAGATGGAGAAGAGAGCATTACAAAAAATGCAGGCATATACATACACACACTCTCTCATTCATTGATGTTTTAGCCCCTTAACCTAATGGAAGCATTCATTTAAAAATCTTCAGTAAAACTTTATAACTTAGCATAAGTGGATGGTGTATGGGCTGGATTGTGCCCAAATTCACGTCGAAGTCCTAATCCCCAGTATCTCAGAATATGACTCTATCTGGAGAGAGTGTCTTCAAAAAGGTAATTAAAGGTAAATGAGGTCTTTAGGACAGGCCCTAATCCAATATGACTGGTCTCCTTGTAAGAGGTTAGGATACAGACAGGTACAGAGGGAAGCGGATGTGAAGACACACGGAGAAGGCCACCTACAGGCCAAGGGGGTAGGACTCAAGAGAAACCAAGCTGTGGACACCTCATCTCAGAGTTCCAGCCTCCAGAATCGTGAGAAAATAAATTCCTGTTGTTTAAGCCACCCAGTCTGTGGTATTGTTATTACAGCCCTAGCAAAGTAATACGGATGGAGAGTGAGAGATTCTAAATGGTCTAATTTGGCAAAAGTCCCCACGTGATTCGGCACTGAAGCCTTGCTATTGAATGGTTCTGCTGGTTAGTGAGATGCAGCGAGAAAATAAGAGGGTGCGATAAGGGCAGCCTTGGAAACAGCTCTGGTTCTTTCAAGTTAAATTTCCTATAAACTTGTCCATTCCAAGACTAACCATAATAGCAACTTTTGCTCTTATTATATCCGTTCTCCCCCCTAAAAAAGTACGCAGTGATTTCATGAAGCTCCTGTGGGTCTCTGCTGTGGCACGTTAGTTACCAGACCTGTGACACCATCTTCCCTGAGCAACTGCTGCAACGTACCGCCCCCAACGGTCCACAAGGTAAAAGCTTCACCTGGATCCTTTGTGTTGCATATCGGAGAAAAACATAAAGGGAAATAGAAAAAAAATTTAGCAGCATTTAAGCAGCACGTGTCTAAGACTAAACCTACTCCTAAACGTTGCACGCCACCGCACAAGCGGCCGCTCGGCCTGTCCTGACTGCAGCCGGCCCTTTCTCTGACAATCGTGTTTACACAGCCTTTTGGCGAGGCTTTCAGCATCGAGTGCAAATATTCCCAAGATATTTGACCAAAGACACCAAGACACAAACACTGAGAGCCCACTCTCGACACCTGCGCTCAGGAGCAGCAATTTCAGCGAGGACGGAGACGCGGAGCGTGTATCAGCACAGACCAAAAAAAACAGCCAGTTCCGTAAAACTTAACCCACGGAAAGATTAAGAAGCGGAGAACTGAGCCACCTGGCGCTCTGGAGACAACGGTGACTTTAGAAGCTTAGAACAAGAGCAAACGGGAAAGAGCACAGACTTCCCACCTTGCTCAGGAAACCAGCGCTCGCCAGCGCCTGGATTTCATGGTCTCGCGAGAAGTTTTTCGTTCCCCCCGGTGTGCGCATGCGTCTGAATCGGAGGCCAGGCTTGCTGTCGGAACATAGAGCATGCGCCAGGAGGTGGGGACGACGCTGACAGGAGGGAGGGGCCATCTGGAAGGAGGTGGCCAACGGAAGGGGCGGAGCTGTGCCGGGGGCGGGGCGGAGGGAGAAGTCCTGTGGGCCCCGCCCCCCGCGGCGCGTCCCCGGAATAGCGTCAGCGGCGGTATAAGAGAGCGTGGGCGGGCGGACACGGCCTTTCACATCCGGGAGGCGTTGAGTGCGGGTGAAAGTTCGAGGTCGTGTCCGCGCGCTAAATGATGATTGGGACAGAACTTTTTCGCCTAGTGACAATGCAGGAGATTCAAGAGTTGTGTAGTGATAGATTGTGGTCGGCTTTGAAAGCCTCTGGGTTCGGAAGCCTGAGCGGACTTACGGGTTCATTAGGTCGCGCGGCGGCCACGTGCAGCCCTGGGCGCTGAGTGGAGGCCGAGCGCGGGCCTCGGGCGCAGGTTCAGTGTCCGGATGGCTCCGGGAAGAAAGTCATTAGTTTCACTCTCTGTCACGTGGCCATCTTCAGTCTACGCCGCCGCTGTTACATAGCAACAGCGCGTGCAGATTCCCGCCACGGTTTGATCCAGATGGTGAGTAGTACCTGTAGTTGTCCTTGCTGATCAGTTCTGGGATTGTGAATCTCCATGTGTCTTTGGGACCTGTCAGCTGTGGCAGTCTCCCTTCCTAGCCATGGAAGAGCATATTCTTGTTTATTGGCAAAGCTGTCACCATTTAATTGGTATCAGATTCTGACTTGCACAAGTAACATTCACCTGTAAAAATCTGGAGGGTGCTGGGTTATTGGGCGTACATCTAACTAGTGTTCAAATGTTCCTAGGAAGCTGAACTGATGGTTCCGATGAGTGATGGGAAACAACCAGGTACGTTCCTTTGTACTCATATTTCGGAGTTAAAATGAAACTTTTATTGCTAAGGGATTGGAATGCCAAAACTGGCCCATTTTGCTGGCATTTTTGTAGTCTGAAAGACTAAAGGGCCAGCTGAGTAGAAAGTAGAAATCGTTGCTACGATCTCAGCACGGTGAAGTAAATACACGGACCAGAGTTTTCTAAAGCTGATTTTCTTCTCTTGCAGGTATTAGATCCAAAGTGATGGGTGGAAACTTAAATAGCATCCTGCCGTGCACTGTCATGCATGATTTTAAATCTCAACAGCTCGGGGATTGAGTGTGGTGAAATGTCTATTTTCAATATAAGCATGAATGTTACTTTTAAGTATGGTATTTAAGTAGAATAAGTGAGTGCTTCCTTGTTATAATTAAATAAAATTCTTGGTTCATCCGGATAATCAGTGTTCCCTGACTGAATAATTAATATGGGAAAGTCAGTCACAAATAATAGTAATAGTAAACAGACTGTCTCCCTGTCTACTGTTAGGAGCTCATGTGGAGGTAACATGAAGATTGTTGTAAGGTATCACAGCATTTGGGGAAAACTTACGCATAAAAACCAGTTTACCACTAAGGGAGACAGCAGTCTTTTTATACCACAAAAGATTAAGGCAACTATAGAAGGTGCAAAGCTAGGCACTTTATTTACACAAATGTGCACTGAACACTCATGTCTTTTAAAGGTCGCACTTAAGGTTTAACAAGGAAAAACAGCTACAATAAAGGCATATTTTATGGACCAAGTATTCTACTTCGGGGTTGAGCAAATTGTAGGCCACCTGTCAACTGTCCGTCCTTAAAGTTTGCCACTCTCTGGTCTGGGTAAAATTTCAGTGTGTTGCTTGCACCAGCACTGGAGTTCAATGATAAGGGCAGCCTGTAAGAAAGTTGCAGTAAAGATACATTTTTCCCACGTGTATCGCACAATTTTCCCAAGCCGTTGTACATGTATGTGCTGTCGTTATCTCTGGATGTAAATGCTTAAAAAGTTCCTTTATCAAAATCATGAGCTTTTAAAAAAGTCTACTGCTATTTCTACCTGACGTAGCATTGCAGTTCTGCAAAGTAGTAAACTGTAAAGCACCTGTAGGTCAGCACCAATTTTTTACAAAGCTGAGGATTCACAAAAAAGACATTTTGATGCAGAAGGGTAAAGTTCCTCCTTGGCGACTTAGCCACTTAAGAGTTACTTGCACCGTTAATCCTAAAGTTCAGGCCAACCTCTTCACCTCTTTATGCTTCTATCCCTTGGATATGAGTCTTTAAACTAGCTGGGATTTGGGGAAGGGCTCGATATTGGCAGTCATTCTCATATGTGGTATGGATTGCTGCAGTATCGTGAGGGGCATACCTTTTATATTTGGACAAAGATTTTGCATTGCTGCCCAGAATGTCCTTGAAGGGTGCATAGTAAGCAACTCTGGGAGGTAGAGGGAAAACTTGGCTTTAGACTGGAGAACTGTGGGGGAGGAATACCATTGCCAGCATTGGGACTCTTCTGGAGTTTGGAGTCCTAGCCTTTAACCAGCTGTCTCCGTTTGCCCTCTAAAACTAGGAATGCCATAAAGTCTTAGCGGCCTTTTATAAATCAACATGAAGTGCATAGCCACTTAATGCAGTGCCTAACATAACTGGTGTGAATTAAATCAGTTGAAACAAATAGTTATTCAGAGCTTTTCCCCACTATGTAGGCAGGGAAAGCACTTTTAATGGTGTGTTTCTATTAAATGGGACTGTACCTGGATAGTCTTAGAAATCTACAGTTTGAAGTCAATTACCAGAAACTTGCAGTAGATGGCACTCTTATATCATTGTACAGAAAACAATGGAGCATGATGCTAAGTTAACGTTTCTTATTTTACAAAGTTACCGGTTTGAAGTAGTTAAAAGTAATGAGTAGATAATGTTAAATAAGGTGGATAAGTTACGTGGTGCATCCAACAACTTGAAGGCATTCTTTACTGTGTTACCAGGAATTCAAATTTTGCTGTAACATACACAGGTAGCTAGATGTGTTTTTCTCTGGTTGCCATTCATTCAGGAATGTATTGTGACTGATCTTATTCCAGTCTAGGTTTATCATGGAATTCTTTATTTTTTGGCCCTCGGTTTCCCCACTTGACAAAGGCTACAGAGATAGATGTGTGAAGATATCTTGTCAGCCTTTCGAAAAGAATCTGAGCTTAAAAATTACATAAACAGTGCCACTCTTACCTTGAGTGTAGTAAAGGGCATTTTTATGTTAAATGTGGGCACTTAATATGAATCCATACACCATGTTCAATTCTAAGGAGTTCTCAATCCAAATAAATGAAAACACTTCTCTGCACAGTGTATATTAATCTCTGGAGAATGCTGAGAAATAGGCAGAAGAGATAAATAAGGCTCAGGTGAGAGTAAAGAAGAGCATCTCCAGTGAAACTAATTTGAGTAGGCAAATGCTAGTTAAGGATAATAAGTATTACACTGAGGTGTCTGTAACCAGAAATGTTCACAAATTCTCAGAAGCAGCAAAGGGCTACACAATTTTTGTCACAACACAAAGCAGAATCGTGCATCTCAGTCTCCGTCAGTTATCATCTCTGGCTGAGTGCTAATAGTGGAAGCTGAAAATTTTCCAACAGATTCTTTAAATACTATTGAGGTTTCCATGAATTAAAGTTTGGTGACACTTTTTATCCAAGGTACAAAGGCTGAGACTTTGGTATAAACACCAGGCGAATCTTTGACTCCACAGCCATACCCCCAGGAGGTCACCCCGTACACAACCCAGGTCTCTCCTGGCCGTTCACACATGAGTGGTCCTCCACTGTCTCCCTGGCAGCTGTCCGCACGTTTGTGTTCAAGGAGGTTTCCAGCACAGAGCATCCTTCCTGTAAACTGACCCTTGTAACGTTCCTCACAAAACCTCTTGGGAAGTAAGGGGATGGCAGCTTGCTGCAGAGTTCTTGAATAGGCTCGTCCTGTCAGACGACATACCTGAGTTAGATTCCAGCTAAAGATCTTACAGAAAAGAGCTACATTTAACAGTTTAATGAACATTTAATAGTCTTGAAATGGAAAGCCTTATGGTGGCATTAGTGTAGTTTAAATGAGTGATAACTAAATGGTAAATGGCATTAGCTGCCTTTTTTAGTGTTTGTACTTAGCATGCTCTTACCCGTCACTCATCTATTTCTCAGTACTGAATTTTTTGAGAGCATTTGTGCAGGCTTTTAGTATTTGAATTCTGTATATTAAAAAGCTGAGGATGCATTCATGCTGGTTTTGCATTAACATTCCCCTAAGATTCATCTACTTCATTGAATTTTGAGAATTAATAAGCATATGAAAGTGGGAACTATTCTAAATAGAAACGTGGTATTTCATAAAGATGATTCAGAAACAACACATTCCTGTATACAGACTGGCTTAGGTTTAACCGCTGGATGTTAGTGTCCCCTATTCCCTGGTAAGCTGCTCAGTCTTTATTTAGTGGCTACAATGTATAATAGAGTGTCCTCCATGACAGCCTTTTCTTGGATCTAACTCCCACCATTATGGCCTGATCCTAAATACTCATCTGGAATAATTCATCCATAATAATACGCATTCTGTGAAATATACTTCCCTAGTCATTTCTTCAGCTGTGGTGTCCACAGGAAGCTGATGACCTTCCTGATGAAGTGACCATAATTCTAACAGGTATATTCAGCCTTAGAGCTGATTCGCCTCATCCTTCAGCAGGGTGTGCTGAGAAGGCATTTACTCCCTGTCATCCAGGAAATGGTTCCTCTTTACGGTTTATCTCAGGATTGGTCCCAGTGCTTTTTCAGTATTCTACACGTACTACAGGTGTTCTACATGTTGCTGCAATGAAATAGGATAAGTCTAAAGTCCAGAGTTAATGCAGCATGGGATAAAATGAACACAAATGTTTATATTTAGTAAATGAAACCTTATTGAAATTATCACCTGTAGAAATACTTAACATGATGCTCTTTACAAGAGTAGAATTATCAGTGTAATTATTTTTGATGGCGAGCAGTCAACCTTTCATTTCTCCTTATTCAGGAGTCATTTGTGAATCAAGCACCTAATCCAGGCGAAACCTAGCTCTTTTGTTTCAAGAACCATCCTAAGCAAACACTAGGTGATAGATGCTGAATCAACTACAGCAAGACAATACAGAAGGCTGTTTGCCTGAGAAGAGCATAAACTGAACACTATTCCTGGGGATTGAGAGGTGGGAAGAATGGGAAAGCAGGGGATGAAACAGAAACTTGAGTGGGTTGGATCCCTCCACTTCAACCTCAGCAGCTCTGCTTTTGTCTTGCATATTTAGAAATTCTCCCTAAGATTTAGTTTGATAAAGGGCTCCATTACAAAAAAAACATCAAACACCAAAGCCCTTTGCTGGGGTAGCTACATCAAGGTCTTGGGAAATCTTTTTAAAATAGAGACAGCCAGGCCCAATCTCTTCTGTCACCTCACTAGTCTGGGGAATTAAAAGTAAGAGGATTCTCTGCCCCTTAAACTCTACAGGCAACTGAGTTGTGTCAGTTTGTGCTAAAGTTCTAATCTGAATCCATTATACATACATGCATCTCACACTTGGCAGAATTTCTGAACAACTAAGTCTGAACCCGTTCAAAATTTACTACCCGTTGTACGTCAGATGTACAGATCATCCCAGACACAAGAAGGTGCCCAGATGTGATTTGCTCCTTTGTATGATTTCCAATACCTGTGTCTCCCCATCCTGTTATGTAACAGTTGGAGGCAGTTTTCTGTGGCCTCTCTCTCCGGAATGGCAAACAGGCTGGCAGAACGTGACTGCTGAATCTGGCACACTGCTCTTCTGGTCCTCGTAGTCTGATCAGGGCAATGTCGTAGTCACTGCTCTCTGGTCGATAGTCCGGGTGAATCACAATTTGTTGAACTCCAATTTCCTCTTCAAACTCCTCCGGCACCAGAGTGTGGTAATCCCCAACCCGAACAGCGTAGTTCCTAGTGCTGTTACCATACCTGAGAGGCAGAGAGAGCTAATGAGAGGCTTGTTTCAAATGCTGGAAACGTAATTGTCAGCAAGGAAGGTTAACAGGGATACCGTGAGCCTTTCTTCCAAATCATTAGCCCCTTTGGTAAAGTTAACCTTTGTTTCCATTTCTCCAACCCCACTGCTAAAAGGTACTAGAAACCGAGAGTCAACACTTCTTTTCTTCCTTTGTTTCACTATTTAGTCCAGGTTACCATCTATTTTCTGAGAAGGAGCAAATGTGGAGGATGAATGGAAAATAAGGGCTAATCGTTAACCTGTCATTTCCCCACCAAATGAAAAAGGATCAAAACAGGTACAATAGTATAGGGCAAAATTATTGTCCTGTATTTGCTGTCTTCGCTCTTCTGTCATTTCCAAGGTTGTTAGTTCATCATGGAGCTCCACAAGGGCAGAAACCAGGTCCAATCTTTGAACCCCTCAGAGCATTCAGCCCCATCCACTTTACTCCCCTTTCCTGTGAACGAATGCAAACCAAAACTCTCTTTTCAGGGCAACGTGTTCATTATATTCTCTCATTTCTTTAGATCTTTGCTCAAATGTCACCTCAATGAGACCTACTTTGTCGCTCGTATGTAAAATTGCAGTCCACCCTTCCTTGTCCTCTCATCCTCCAGCACTCCCAGTGTTTTTAATCTGCCCTACTTTTCTCTTTTTTTTTCTTTTTTTAGCATTGACCACTTTTGGCAGATAAAAGGAAAGGATTGAGAGGTTTTGCAAGAGTGATTGTGGTATCTCTGGATATAAGAAGGGAAGTCATAAGCAGAGATGGAAATGAAAACACTAGTGGAGTCAAAGGATTAAAGTCCAGTGGGGTTGAAGGATTGCAGGGCTGTAAAACTGTAAAGATAGGCGGCAGTAAAGTATGAGATGCTTGAAATCAGAATTTCAGAAGTGTGTAGTATCTGGGGAATTGGCGGCCTGGGTCTCCCGTTGGGAGTGGGTGGCTGAGATGAAGTGGAGACCATGCTCACTGTGAGTGAGGAAGTTAGGGAACTAAAAGGGAAAGGTGTTGAAAACTAGGTCATTAAGAAGGTCGTCAGCAGTGGCAGAAGGGGAAGTGAGCGAGGTGCTGAAATCCTCAGTGAGAAGGCGGAAGTAACCAGAAGGTGGGTCACGTCATGTCTTCTAGGCCACTACTCAACTGGGGGCAGTTTGCACCCTAGATGACATTTGGCAATGTCTGGAGACACTTTTGGTTGTCACAACTGGGGTGTGTCTGTGTGTGTTGCGGGCATCTAGTGAATAGAGGACCACGCACAGGACAGCCCCTTAGAACAAAGAATTATCTAGCTCCAAATGTCAGTAGTGCTGAGGCTGGAACTCTGCTCGAGGCAGATGTATCAGAATCAAGGTATGTTGGTTGAAAAACAGGCTGAGAGCTCTCAGTTAGTAAATGTTGTTTCTATTTTAATTGAATAGTCTCTCATGGAAAAAGTCATATACATTAAAAATATATGTGCATTCACTGAATCAGCAAACGTGCTGCATTCCTGCTTAACGGGGCTTCGCGGTTCTAGGTGGTTCAGATTGATCAGTGAACAATAACAGATGCAGATTCTTGTCCTTGAATACCCTATATTCACAGCAGGGGGAGACAGAGAATAACATGCATAATAACGACTAAGTTAGAAATGTTTCATAAATCTTTGGAATGGAATTTAAGAAATTATCTTAAACTTCACTGTCCAGTACAGTAGCCACTAGCCACATGTGGCTGTTGGAGCACTTGGAATGTGGTTAGTCTGAATTGAGATGTGCTAGAAGCATACAGCATGTACAGGATTTCGAATACTTAGTATGAGAAAAAGAGTATTAAATATAGCATCTCGATAGATAATATCAAATATCTCAAGTTTTATATTTTGCAATGATAATATTTTGGATATACCAAGTTAAATAAAATATACTATTTGATGTGTTTGGTTATTTTTAATGTGGCTACTAGGAAATTGAAAGTTACATATATGAGTTGCGTTTGTGGTTCACATTACATTTCTCCTAGACGGCAGTGGTCTAGAGAAAGTTTGTCATAAACTGGGCATCTGAGTTTATTATATTTCTTTAATGCAGTCTCTTATGTTGCTTCAACTTTTAAGCTTGCATTATGAGACTCCCTTCATATGTCAACTTTTTATATCCTTTCCAATAATTACATTACTGTTCAACCTAAAAAAAAAGTTTCTAGTGCAACAATATTTTCCATTCTTTGAAAAAGAGCTGTGACACTTGGCTAAAATAATCCTTGCATCTAAACTGGCTGTTAAATATATTCAACATTCTTTAAAAATTGGGTCTTCAGGCACTGGCCCGGTGGCACAGCAGTTAAGTTTGCATGTTCCGCTTCAGCAGCCCAGGGTTCACCGGTTCAGATCCCGGGTGTGGACCTACACACTGCTTGTCAGGCCATGCTGTGGCAGGCATCCCACATGTAATGTAGAGGAAGATGGGCACAGATGTTACCTCAGGGCAAGTCTTCCTCAGAAAAAAGAGGAGGGTTGGTGGCAGATGTTAGCTCAGGCTAATCTTCCTCAAAAAAAAAAAAAAGGTATTCAGGGGGTGGGTGGTGGGCCAAAGGGGTAAAGGGACACATATGTATGGTGACAGATAAAAACTAGACTATTGGTGGTGAACAGGACGCAGTCTGTACAGAAACAAATATAATAACGTACACCTGAAATTTACACAATATTAAACAAACCAATATGACCTCAATAAAACAAAATAAAAACTTGGGTCTTCAGCCAGTAAACAAAAAAACAGGACATTATTACAACAGAGAAATTTCTTTTTAAAATAGTCTCAGTGTTAAAGTCTTGGGAAACCTTGCTTTAATGTGTCACTTCATGTGTGGACTACTGCAGTGTTCTCCCAAATGGCCTTGCTGCTGCAAGCTGTAACCTTTTCAATCCATCCTTCACTCTGCAGCCAGAACAATGTTTCCACCTGATGATAGAACTACTCTTCTGAATACCCTTCAGTGGGTCCCCACTGTGTACATAATAAAGTTCAAATTCCTTCAGTGATACACAATCCCATCCAAGAATGGCCCTTGTCCACCTCTCTGATACCAGCCTGGTCTCTGTGCTCCTCATTTTAGCTGCTTGAAGAGGTATTTCACAAACCTGTCTTTATTCAAACCACTTGCAGTATCATTCCCCCTTCCCTTATTCCTAAAATGGCAGAAACTGATTTTATCTTTCAAGTCTCAAGTCAAGAATCTCCTGGGAAGTTCTTCCTGATCCCTACCCTGCCTAAAAACTGGCTAATCCTTCTTTTGAAAATTCCCAGTAGTACTATCTTAGCATTTATAGCAATTTCTAGGACTTGTTAAAATGTCAGGTCTCCCCCAATAAAGGCTCCTCGTGTGTGAGGACCATGTCAGTGCTCACTTTTGTGTCCTCAGCACCAAGCAAAGTATTTGGCACAGAGAAAGCTCTTAATAAATGTGTGTTCAACAACAACTTTTGAAAGACATCCGTGTCCACATATATACTTACACTGTCATCCCTAACTTACTGAAATCAAAGAGACATCTTACCAATCCTTGCAACATCACCACGAAAGTTTCTATTCATAAAAAAGAAAAATAGAACACTCAAAGATTTAATGTTCTTGTTAATGCTGGCTGATCAGCAAAACCACCTGTACCACTTTTATTATTATTATTATTATTTTGCTTTTTGGTGAGGAGGATTGGCCCTGAGCTAACATCTCTGCCAGTTGTCCTCCATTTTGTATGTGGGATGCCACCACAGCATGGCTTAATGAGTGGTGTGTAGGTCCTCGCCCAGGATCTGAACCTGCGAACCCTGGGCCACCGAAGATGAGCACACAATCTTAACCACTATGCCACTGGGCTAGCCCTGTACCACTTTTAAAAATACAAATGTCTAGGCCACACAGTCTCTGAGTATATCAAATTAATAGGACTGATGTAGGACCATAGGTGATTCAAATGCACAGTCAGGCTTGAGAACCACTGAACCAAAGATTCGAAAAGGCATGGGCATAGCTCCTGCCTCAGCATGCCTGGAATTTCACCGGGTGAAGTGAGCATCCTAAGAGATAGCAACACACAAAAACCATACGATGTTCCATACACATATACTGTGTTCTGGGATCAAGTAGATTTCAGCAGGCACTTTTGAGTATGCCCTCAAATTAGTTTGCTCACCAGTCAGGAGCTGATATTAAACTGAGAATAAAAGTAAAATATTCACCTGAAGGAAACAAGAACCATTCTTGTCAAAATTAAGTTCTTTATTAGTACCTATAGTTTTAAAGTTGTCCTGATTTAAGGAAATGGACCAGCTAAACCTAAGCATTGATTCCCACATTGTTTTCACTCCAATTATTCTTAGAACAGATTTCATGTTTCAAATTTGAAGAGCATCTGGCACAAGCCTAGATTAGTTTGCTAACCAAATATTTGTCTTCTAGTGTCACCTCTCCTAGTGGGTGTGATTATATACTTCAGGGATTAACACTTTGAGGTTCCCAATATGTCTGTGGACTTTGAAAGCATTAACTATGGGTCTAAGCTTCTCAAGAAAACATATGAAGGAATCCTCTTTTGCAGCATATTTCAAAGTCTTTCTAGTTGAGCTTTTGTTATTTTGATAGACTTTATTATATTCAAAAATGTTTCTAAAACAAACATTTCAGGTTTTGGCTGACACACCATTCAGTTGTTTGCTTTGCTGAAATGCCTTCAACTCCCCCTCAAATAAAAATTGGATGCAATTCCCAGACAACTTGAGCAAGAGAAGATCTGAGACACAGCAGTTTGGTAAAATCCAATATCCCAATTTCTCTGAGATTCTAGAATTAAAATAAACAACAGCAAATTACTAGTATTAAAAATAGAAGAATTAATTCAGGTTGCGGGGTCGTATTCTTTATGTGTGTTCCACAGATGGATTCATCTCTCCAAAAAGACAGTATTTTATATCAGCCTGCGTACATC